CAAATCTATGCACATATTAAATAATATGCACTTGCCAAACATTTACTACTGGTAAAAAAACAACAACCAAAACCCTAAAAATTTCAGGAAGAGTTTAAAAATCAGGAACACGAACAAGAAAACACACACACACACACACACACACACACACACACACACACACATTAAAACAGTGTTTTGAAAAAGAATGTCTTTTTGTAGTCCCCACCCGCCCAGAATGTGTGGTCTTCCTGCCTCAGACTCCCTGGTGGCTGGGTCAGAGGCATGCTCCACTACTCCAGCATACCCTAAGTACATTTAACACACAGTCAGATGTGATGGGCCATGCCTATGAGTCAGGAATAGGAGAATGCTGTACATTTAAGGCCCCTATGCTGTGTAGTGAGCCGCAGGCCAGCCAGAGAGACATAAAACACCCTATCTAAAAATGTAAAAAGTTGCCTTGCTATCATATTCTTAGTACTCTTGTCTACTCTGTCCTCATTTCTCCCAGTTTGTCTTTTGTCCATTTTTCTCACATGCACTTCAGGAGCTGTGTTCTCTTGAATGTATTTACAATGATGCTACAAGTTGGCTATATACGGAACTGTCTATCTGCAAAGGGTGATCCCTGTCTATCAGTAAGCTTGGTTTGTAAGTTTGTCTTTGTGTTTGTGTTCCTTTCCTAGAAAGCAGGTGTAGGTAATCTGAGTATAAATAATACCCGAGGGAGTGTATTTTTTACAGGTCAAAAAGGTCACGCCTACCTTAATAGTATTGTAGCAATTCTCCCTTAGGAGCACAAGGGTTGAGCTGAGGATTCAGCACAGTAGTTGAGTACCTGTTCAGCACACACAAAACACTGAGCTGGATCCCTATCAGGACAGAGAACCAAGGCTGTAGTACATGCTATAACCCTAGCACTTGCAAGGGGAAGGCAAGAGAATCAAAAGTTCAAGGTCACCTTCAGCTACACAGGCTACAAAGAAACCTTGTTTAAAAAAAAAAAGAAAGAAAGAAAAACAAAAATCAAGATGGCTTAGTGAGGTCAGGGCACTTGCTACCAAGCCTGATGACCTAAGTTGAATTCCTGGGACCCAAAAGGTGGAGAAACATAACAGTTCCCAGGGGCTCTCCTCTGACCTCCACACAGGTACCATGATAGCGCATGGCCACCCGCAATGCACATCATAGACATAATAAATAAATAAATAAATAAATAAATAAATAAATAAATAAATAAATAGATAAATAAATATAATTTAAAAATAAAAAAGGAAACAAGGCTGTCTGCCAGACATGGTGGCTACCCCTATAACAGCAGCACTTCAAAAGCTGACACTCTTGCCACAACTAAAGAGGAGCCTAGGCTTCGCAGTAAGTTCCGGACTAAGCCTGAACTACACAGAGACCTATACTAACAACACAAGGACGTTAGTCCTGCAAGACGTCAGTCACAGAGAATCAGTTGTCATATGATTCCATTCATAAGTGTTCAGAGACTTAGTGACTGCTAGTGGGTACAGGGTTTCTTTGTGGCATGAGAAAACATTCTTAAATAGATTGCAGTACATGCTGCTCAACTCTTTAGTGTATTAATATTCACTGATTTTTACAAATACACTCTGTTCTTTTGTTGCATTTACTTTGAGACATAGTTGCGTTTAGCCCAGGCTGGCCTTGAATTCCACTTAGCAAGTGCTGGACTACAATGCTGGGATTATTGCTTCTTTTCTTTGCTCCCTTGGGATTACAGTTAAGTGGGTAAACTGTATGGTATACAAATAATATTTCAATAAATTTCTTTGTTTTTATAGGATCTCTACATACAGTCCAAGATGGCCTTGAACTCAAGAACCTCTTGCCTGAGTATCCCAAGTACTAGATAACAAGTGTGCACCACCGTGCCTGCTTCAATAAAGTTACTGTATAATAATAAGAGAGAAATGTGAAGATGTAAATGAACAGAAATTGCACTTAGCCAGAAAATGATGGCTCATGACTATAATCCCAGCATTTGGGCAGCAGAAGTAGGAGGATGGCTGTTAAAGACCAGCCTGGGCTATGCAATGAATTCCAAGCCTGGGCCAAAAAACTTGGGCCCAGGGAGCCCTGCAGAGACTGATACGCCAACCAAGGACTTTGTAAGGGGAGGACCCAGACCCCCTGTTCAGAGGAAGCCCATAGACTGCTCAGTTTCCAAGTGGGTTCCCTAGAAAGGGATACAGGGGCTGTCTCTGACATGAACTCAGTGGCTGGCTCTTTGATCACCTCCCTCTAGGGGGTGCAGCCTTGCCAGGTCACCAAGGAAGATGATGCAGCCAGCCTTGATGAGACCTGATAAGCTTGGGTCGGGTAGAAGGGGAGGAGGACCTCCCCTATTAGGGTACTAGGGATAGGGCACAGGGGGAAAAGAGGGAAGATGAGTGGGACTGGGAGGAGACAAGAGAGGAGGCTGCAGCGGGGATACCAAGTGAAGAAATTGGAATAAATAAATAAATAAATGAATGAATAAATAAATAAAAAATAATTAGCAAATAGAATTTGACTATAGAGTTTTAATATCTAACAGGCTAATGGACCATCACAAATTAATGTTTTCCTTTCAATATAATTTTACACTTATTTTTTCCTTATTAATTAATTTATTCATTCACTTTACACCTCAATCACAACCCCTTCCCTCTTCTCCTCTCCTCCAGTTGTTGGGAGTTGAAAATAATTTTTTAGCTTTTGTGGTGCTGGGATCAAACCTAGGTTCTTACACATATAGGTAAGCATTTAATTATTCGGCTACATCCCCAGCCTGGAAAAAAAAATGTGATCATGCTGAAAACCAAGAATTGTGATGGGCTCTGACCTATAAGTACTTAACATCAGGTGAAATGTGGTCTAATGGTCTGCCACAGAGAAGAAAGAAAATTCAGATATAGGGCAGGAATATCATCAAGGACACACTTTTGTCTGTTCTTGTCTAGCACAGAGGTTGGAACGATATACATGTCACCAAGGTTTTCCAAATGGATTGATTTTTTAATAATCATAGGAGGAGGAGCTAGGGATACGGTTCAGTGGATGTGATCCATGAATACATGACATCAACTTCCAGGCTTCCACATGCATGTTCACACATGTGTGAACACACACAAACAAGCATAGACCCAAATACACACACACACACACACAGACACACACACAGACACACACACAGACACACACCACAGAAGGCTAGGATAATCACGGGGTTACCTGGCCACCATCAATCTCATTCTAAACTAGAAATGCTGGGAGATGCAAGGCAAGGAAGTTCTAAGATCGGCATAGTGGAATGCACACTGCAGAGCCAGAGATGGGATTCAAACTCTAACTGTGGACTCTTTTTTAAAATTATTTTTATGTGTGTGTGTCAGCTTGTCTGTATGTGCACCATATGTACCATATGGTAAGACCAGAAGAGGGTACCAGATACCCTGGAACTGGAGTTACAGGTAGTTGCAGTTTTAGATAGTTGTGATGTGGGGTGCTGGGGACTACACCCAGTTCTTTTAAAGATCAATACCATCTCACCACCTGCGCCGCCTCTCTGGACCCTAACCATGAGCTCTTAAAGACATTATAGAGGTAGCCAGACTTAATGTTCCATTACTGGGAAGCTGAGGGAGCCTTAAAGAGGGGGCTCTAAAAGTCTAGCCTGGGCTATACAGTGAGACTGGCTCAAAATACTAAAAAGGGATGTATGTGTGTGTAAAGTGTGTCGTAGGACTAGGGGAAAAAAACTACTTAAAAGGAGTCTGGGCAAAGCTACTCTTCTGAAACACTGACAGCTCAATCGATTAATCAATTTGATATGCCAAAAAACTATTCTGAAAATTTCTCAGAAAAAGAAACATGAGCTGCACAAAAATGTCAGAAACCAAAGAAGACCGCACATAGCTCGCAAATTTCCACAGGCTCACTTCCTGTTTAAATATGACCTCCTGGGATGAGTTTTACTGCAGCGTTCATTACCAAAGAGATGACTGTGGGTTTTAAGAGAAGCAGAGGGCACGTTGGAAATGTGATTCTTAGCTGAACATGGAAAAAGACAAGAGAGAAGGGGAGGGCGGCGGGGGTGGAGTGGGGTGGGGAGGCTAGAAAGGGACCCGGGAAACGGATTGGAAAGGGGAAAGGAAATTCTTAATTCAACACGGACGAGAAGACGAGAAAACAAAAAAAGCGAGGGGAAAGAGACGGGCGGGCGGGGGGGGGGGGGGAAGGAAAGTAAAAACTGAATGCAGGAGGAAACGCATCAACTTCTGCAAGCCACAATCTAACGACCCAGTCACGTCCTCAAAACCAACCCGCGGCAGCTGCAGCTTCACAGCCGGCTCCAGCTGTGCTGCACCGGAGCCAGACATTTATTCTAAGGCAGGGCAGGGCAGGGCAGGGCAGGGCAGATAGATCAAAATGGCCAATGCAAGACACCAGATTTCAATCACGAAAAGGGTGTGTCCCAAGTTTTGTGGTGTTCCGCCCCAGCAACATCAGGGGCAGCGAGATGACCGCTGGGGTAGAGAAGCAGCGGGGCAAGGCGCTTCCTAGCCCACGCGGGTTCGGGAGCATCAGCCTAGCCCAAACCCCAGGCGGCCGGTCCCGAACCCGAGACGGTCGGCCGAACCCCAGCGGGCCGGCTGCAAGTGACTCCCCGACAGCCGGGAGCCTGCGCGCCTGGCCGTCCCGGAACGGCGCGGCACCCTCCGCTCCCTAACGAGGCCGGCGGGGAAGGCGCGGGAAGCTCTGCCGCTCCCTCCTCGGTCGCCCAGGCCGGAGCGACCCGCTGCCGCGCCCGCCGACGGACTTCCTGGAAAGCGCGGCGCTGAACTCACCTGTCCGGCCGCCGACCTCCGCACGGTCCGCAGGGTCTGAGTCGCTCTTCTCGGCGCCCACACTCCGCAGTGCCTCTAGTTCAGGGAGTTGCCGAGTCCTCCCGCCAGCTGGTCCCCAGACCCTACCGCGCTGTCTTGTGCTGCTGGTTTCCCCCTCCCTCTTCCCCTCTCGTGCGCGTGCGTACTCTTGGGACAGGCTGCATGCTGGGAGTTGTAGTTCGAGGGAGAAGGGCGCGGCTCCGTATGGACCTGGCTCTTTACAATGGGAAGGGTGTTAAAACAGGCTACAGGTACCAGGACTAGGCTGAGAAAAACGCTTTCCGCTCCTGCCCGCGACCCTCTGGAAGCTAGAAAGTCTTTCTAGAGGCTTGCTTTTTTTTTAAATTTGGTAATAGATTTACTTCTTGTGCGGTGGGCCTTTTATAAAAAGACACAAAATACAGAGCAAGGCTCGTCTTATACACTTGCTTACTAAAGTGATTAGGGCATCTTATCAGCCTTTTAAACTTGTCATGGAAGACAGATAAAAGCTAAGGGACTGGGGTTGTAGCTTAGTTGGTAGAGTACTAATTCAAGCCCACGCAAAGCCCTAGATTTAATCCTAAACAATGGATAAACTGGGTGTGGTGTTGCATGCCTATAACCCCGGATCCTAGCACTTGAAACAGACCGAGGAGAATCAGAAGTTTAGGGTAATCTTCAACTAGCTACGTCCTGAGTACAAAGCTAGTGTGAGCTACGTGAGAAAAAGTCATAAATCACCCCAGGGTGTGGTGAGCCTAACACCAAAAGAGGAGTAAAGGTGAAAAGCAGAGATAGATAAAGCACACAGCCAGGAAAGGAACAGAGAAAGGCCACCCGAGCTTTAGGTTTAAGCAGAGGAAGAACTGGGGCAGGGAGCAAGAATTATGTATAATTGAGCAATCCTGGCCGCCATGTCCTGGTTGGTCATTGTTTCAGGCTGCTTATGCAAGGTGGTCCAACGAGTGTCTTCTGCCTGAGAGGACAATGTCGTTCTCAGAGGATGCTTGTGGTCAGGGGTGCAGCCTTCCCATCCTGGATGGGATGCCCTCATCTGGGAGGTGGTCTGCCCTGGGATGCTCTCCAAGGTGACCATAGGCGCCTTTGGGGAGTGACTGTAAAAGCTGACCATAAGATGTCTCAGTTTTATCTCTATGCCTGTGTCCCTGAAGGCGGATGAGATAGGTCAGGTCTCACAGGTTTCTGGTTAGGCATTCCTTGAATGATGCGCATGCCTGCATACAGAGGTAACTAGGCAACCCAAAACAGGAAGGCAGACACCGAAAGAAAGCAGAGATGCTTATCCTGCTTTTAATTATCTTATGGGCCCAAGTGAGCCAATGCTTTTTAACAAATGCAGTTTTTAGCTGCCTGTTAGATTGCAATTGCCCCCCCACCCTTCTCTGGTCAGTCTCTGCTCCATCCCATCCTCCCGTTCCAACTTCATGTTCTACATCTGGCGGAGAGATTGGGCTAATGTGAGAGAGAGTAAACAACAGAAGCAACTAGTCAAAGGAGGGAAATAAGTAGCTAGGGTCAGAGAGGGGAAGATGAAGGCGTGGGAACACCTCAGAGGACTGTTTGGTGGTAACCTGTGTAATGGCTGTCTCTTGTGCAGGGCTCTGAGGAGAGCATTCCCAAGGAGGGTAGCAGGATGGACAGGAATAATGTTCTATGTTGCTAAACATCTTTTAAAATGAAAAAAAAAAAAAAAAAAAAAAAAAAAAAAAAAAAAAAAAAAAAAAAAGATGCAGCCGGGAAGAGGACTGGAGTGCATACTTGAGACACATTCCAGCTACACCCAGAATAGGGAGTCACCCAATGGTTAAGCTTCGCCTGGCAACTACTTCTTCCTCTCAGGGCGGAGAGTACCCTTGTTTGAGTACCTGGAATTTTGTGTAGCTGACACCCACTCAACATCAGTAATGATCTGAGATCTCTCTCTCCCTTTCTCCTCTCCCTCCCCCTCTTTTTTTCATTTGTTTGTTCATTGGAGAAAAGGTCTTGCTACTGTATAGTCGGGCTGCCCTGAAACTTGCTATTAGACCAGGCTGGCCTTAAGGAAATCTGTCCCAGCCTCCCAAGTACTAGAATTACAGGCGCACACCACTCTACTTGGTTAAGGGAAATCTCTTGTAAGTTAAACTATTCAGGAGCTGGTTTCTGAAAGAAATTTCCTACAGTTCTCAGATTCACTTCATCTTTATTGAATATCTAATACACACCAATCATTGTGCCAGTATTTGTAATATCTCATTGAACTTTGAAATAACCCTACAAAGAAGAAATTAATATCTTCAAGTTTTAAACAGGAAACTAAAAATGGAAATGAAGAATTGAAAAAGTTAATTTACATAAGGCCAAATGGCCAGAAGATCCAGAAATGAAGTATATATACTCTCTCAAATTCAAGTTACTTTCTAATTGCTGGTTAGACCGACCTGTTTCCTAGATCTCATCATATTCTTTAAAATATGATAAAATCTGTGGCCAGGTTCAAAGAACATGAAAAAAACTTCGCCAAGAAATTAATTCCAGAAGAGACAGTATTTTGAATGAATAAATAATTTGGATTCTTTGACAGCTCATGTACGTGATATTTCAAAACGAAAACTTGACTTCCCGTTGATGTGGGCCCGCAGGTGTTTATATGTTCCATGTATGTACAGATGTCTTGTGAAGGCCAGAAGAGGATTTTGGGTCCCCTGGAACTGGAGTTACAGGCAACTGGGAGCAGCCAAATGGGGTGCTGGGAACTGGACGCATGCTCTGCAAGAGTAACACATGCTCTTAACTGCTGAGCCATCCCTCCAGACCATTTTGTGTATCATTTTTTGTTTTTGTTTTGAGAGGAGGTCTCATGTAGTTCAGAGTGGCCTCAAATTCATTTTGTAGCCGAGGCTGGCCTTGAGCTCTTGATCCTCCTGCTTGCACTTCCCAGATCCCAGAATTGCTGTCACACACCACACATCTTACTCCTTTGACAGTTCTGTATTCACACTACATAGTATCCTGGTTGTTCTGGTCTCCCATTCTGGAGATTTAGCTCAGGTCACCAGGCTTTGGGCTCTCTGACCAGCCAGCCTAGTCTACACAGTGAGCTCCACGGCAGACATCAAAGAGCACAGGGGGCTAGAGAAATGGTTCAGTGGTTAAGAGCACTTGCTGCTCTTCCAATGCCCTCTTCTGGCCTCCCCAGGTCTTACACATATGTGATGTACATACACATTCAGGCACATATACATATTCATAAATAAGTCTTTTGATTAATTTCTTTCATTCATTTATTTATTTATTTTTAAGCTGGCACTGGCTAGGCAGTGGTGTTACGTGCCTTTAATCTCAGCACTCAGGAGGCAGAAGCCAGCCTGGTCTATAGAGTGAGTTCCAGGACAGCCAGGGCAGAGAAAACCCTATTTTGAATCCTGCTCCCCCCCCCCCAAAAAAAAAGGCACCTGAGGAGTACTCAAGATTGTCCCTTGGTGCAAACACACACAAGGAGCGTGAAAGTGATTGATAAGATGACACTCCAGTTCCATTTACTGCATTGTAAGCCCTCATTAGTGTTATCTTTATGCCTCCAGCCAGAAGAACTCATAAAGCCCGTGCCACACTGAGTCATCATAAGCAAGTTAATACCAGCGGCAATTTGCTCATTACCAAAAGATTCCTTCAGGAAACAGCTTTCCTTGTATACTTAAGGAGTTTTTAAGGATATAATTTGTAAGACAGCTGTGTAAACTTGAACTGTAGACCAAAAACTAAAAGGAAAGGATTTCACCCTGGAGCCTTGGACTTGGTTAGAGCGGAGGTAGAACTCAGAGACCAGCTGGTATGCACACATTTATGGAAAGCTTTCCAGAAAACTCTTTGGCCTGAAGTGCCCCACTCCATCACCCTGTGTCTACTTGCTAGGTGACTCATGTTTTACCATCCAACTTAAACATCATGTTTGACTCCCATTCCTCCAACATCATCAGCTGAAATCGGCTTTCCCCATACCCGGCCCTATTACGGCTCTAGAGTGCAGCTAACACACATTTGCGCCAGAAGACCAAGAACCTAAAATGTTCTCCATCAGGCTGTGGAGGTTGCATGCCTGTGATCCCAGAACTGGACGGAGCTGGAGATAGGAAGTTCAGGAGCACAAGGACATCCTCAATTACAGGAGTTCAAGGCCAGCCTGAACTATATGAGACCCTATCTCAGAAAAGGAGGAAGAGACGAAGGGGAAAGGGCAAGGAGGAAAAGGATGACTTTGTGAAGATATAAGCCCCAGTTATGGAAAGGTTCAAGTATGGCTGAAATCATACTGAAAGGAAGATCTAAGAGCTGAGGGCCAAGGCCAAGGCACTGATTTGTTTGCCAAATACTATGACTCTTTGTCTAAGGCCACTTGTAGCAGAAATAGCTTGCTGGCAGGCAGGGACTAGACACAGTAAGCTTTTAATTAACCAAACTACTGAGTTTATACATGCCAGTCTCCACCTCTCTCTCTTTGAGGTGTGTATGTGCGTGTTTGTGTGCACAAACAAGTGTGTTCATGAATATGTAGAGGCCAGAGGTTAACAGCTAGTGTTTTCCTCTATTACTCTTTCCCCTTATTATTATTATTATTTTTTGAGTCAGTCTCTCTCTGATCTGGAACTTGCTGTTTCAGTTAGACTGGTGAGCCAGTGTGCCCTTAGGATCCACAATCCTCCCACCCCCAGTTTGGGGTTTGCGGACATACCATCATGCCTGGATTGTATGTGAATGCTAAGGAGCCAAGTGTATGCAGGCCCACTGCAGAAAGCAGTTTGCTCACCGAGCCAACTTCCCAGTCCCTGGTTTTGTTTTCTTGAGACAGGCGCTCGATAGGTAGCGCTGGCAGACCTGGAAACTATAACATAGAGCAGGCTGGCCCCAAACACCAGGCAGTCCTCCTGCCTCAAATGCTGGCCTTGAATTCATTTCATAGCCAAGCCTGGTCTTGATCTCCTGATCTTCCTTCACTTTCCAGTTGCTAGAATTATAGACATGAGCACCATGCTACCATGTTCTCTTGACCTTACTCTCAAGATTTCCTATCATGCTCAACAAATACCATGCTAGCTCTTGGAGACAGATCATTGCCTTACTTCAGTATGCTTACAAGCCATTATTA